TACTCTGTAGATAAAGCCAAACCACGAACTCTATGCAAATTAAAGCCTGTACCTACTCTGTAGATAAAGTCAAACCACGAACTCTCTGCAAATTAAAGCCTGTACCTACTCTGTAGAGAAAGTCGAACCATGAGCTCTCTGCAAATTAAAGCCTGTACCTACTCTGTAAGATAAAGTCAAACCACGAACTCTCTGCAAATTAAAGCCTGTACCTACTCTGTAGAGAAAGTCAAACCATGAGCTCTCTGCAAATTAAAGCCTGTACCTACTCTATAAATAAAGTCAAACCATGAGCTCTCTGCAAATTAAAGCCTGTACCTACTCTGTAGATAAAATCGAACCATGAGCTCTCTGCAAATTAAAGCCTGTACCTACTCTGTAGAGAAAGTCGAACCATGAGCTCTCTGCAAATTAAAGCCTGTACCTACTCTGTAGATAAAGTCGAACCATGAGCTCTCTGCAAATTAAAGCCTGTACCTACTCTGTAGATAAAATCGAACCATGTTCCTGGGAAGTTGTACCAGTAGTGATTTTTGACTGTAATGGGAAATTCCATTTTTAATACATTGATTGCAAATTCATACTACTATCTCTTGTAATTTGGTAACAATAAATAAATGCAAAAAAAAAAGAATTGTTGAAACAAGTGAATGTAAGCACATTAAAATAAAACTGTTAAAAAAAATTGAAATGGCAAAGAAGCACGTTCATAAATGGTGGACACGTGCAGAAAAACACATGCTGTGACAATCGACAAAGTGGGGATTGAGCAGGAATAGCAGAGGGAACTAGGTGCACCAGTATAGGTGCCACAATACTACTGGTGGAGAATAGTCACATGATAACATTCAGAAATGGCACAATATTGATGAGGTATATAGATTGGCAAGCTCATCATAAAACTTTTTTTAGAAATGCTTAGAGGGTAAACAAACATCAAGACAGCTTTGTGTGAGAGGGGTAACACCATTTTGGGATTTCATGTTATGTAAATCAGTTAGCTCTAGATAAATGACACTTGTAAATGTAAAGAGTAATTTGTAATGACATGTTCATGGAGTATAGAAGATACACAATATTTCCATGTTTTAAGATCTATAAAGATTTTTTCTTTTATTACAGTAAAACTTCATCTACCTTCTGCACCATGCTCAACAGTAAACTTTCTCCAACGAAGGCAGATTCACAAGTCCTGATAACACGACCACCACCAGACTATGATGAAGCCACAAAACAATTAAAAGAATCCAAGCAGGTGAGATATGAGCCTTTTGAGAACAATAATATAAGTCTTAATATAGCCACAGTTAAATCTTGTCTGTTACTGATGTATTAATAAAAAATCCTTTTTATCATAGGTATAATACATTATGCTACTACAGTATAACATTATATCAGTTCCAAAATGTTTTATATAACTCTCATATCTTTTTTTATGTAAAGTTAAATTACATAGAATCTTATATTTGACATTCTAAATAAATAAATAAATAAAATATTCTCAGTTAGAACTTTCTTCTACTCTTTTATTTTAAATGGGTATTTTATGGGTATGATATCTAACAAAGAAAAATATTATTTTCTTCCTAGATTACTTTAAAAACATGTTTATACTTTTTTTAAACCAGATAATAAACAAAGTTTAAGAATTGTGCTTTCCTCCAATTAGAATCAGTCATATCCGTACGTAATCAATCATATTGACAACTGTCATTCTGGTCGAAAGTCTGTCAAAAGCCAAGCTGTTGATGATGTTCTGGAGATCTTGATCAAAAATGGAGGTATGTGACCAACTTGCATTAAAATTAAGTGTATGCTCTTTCATTTTAAAAACACTGACACCAGTTATCACGTTTGAAGCTTTCACACAGACTTCTGTAATCCGTGTCATTTTAAGGGTTTCACACAGACTTCTGTTCTGTAATCCGTGTCATTTTAAGGGTTTCACACTGACTTCTGTTCTGTAATCCATGTTATTTTAAGGGTTTCACACTGACTTCTGTTCTGTAATCCAAGTCATGTTAAGGGCATAGTTTTCATTAATAGTTTCACACTGACTTCTGTTCTGTAATCCAAGTCGTGTTAAGGGCATAGTTGTCATTAATAGTTTCACACTGACTTCTGTTCTGTAATCCAAGTCGTGTTAAGGGCATAGTTGTCATTAATAGTTTCACACTGACTTCTGTTCTGTAATCCAAGTCGTGTTAAGGGCATAGTTTTCATTAATAGTTTCACACGGACTATTGATGTGCTGTAATTCCAATCATGTTAAGGGCATAGTTGTCATTAATAGTTTCACACGAACTATTGATGTGCTGTAATCCCAATCATGTTAAGGGCATAGTTTTCATTAATAGTTTCACACTGACTTCTGTTCTGTAATCCCAATCATGTTAAGGGCATAGTTGTCATTAATAGTTTCACACTGACTTCTGTTCTGTAATCCCAATCATGTTAAGGGCAT